AAGCGATCTTTACCTCCATGCTTACCTACTGCCATGAGTAATGGACCATAAGTGAAAAGTTTCGAACGCGGGCACAAGTTGATGAAATGGGCTTTCGTGGAAAAGTCACTGGCCATACGCTTCTGGACATGGTCCGGAATACAGATCTGCTGGAGAGCCTTGGTGTACAGCGTCTTCTTCTCCAGATTGCGAGGTCGCATCTGCGATGGTTTGGACAAGTGTATCGAAAGTTTCCATCTTATCGTGTAGAAAGGATGGCGATGCAGCTACTTTTTGCCCAGCCCACCTGCAGAAGGTCCAGGGAAAAGCCAAGATTAACCTAGTGCAAATATATGGAGAGAATCTGCTTCAAACTGCGGCTGTCTTCTGCCGAAGCTCAAACGCTGGAACAGAATCGGGAAGCTTTGAGTCACTGTCTGCCTGCGCGACTCGAAAGGAGAAGTAGTCATTGAAGATGAAGGTAAAAAGGTTAAAAATGCAAAAATGTTCTAAAACATTCAGCAGCAGGTTTAAAGTTAAAGCAGCCAAATGAAACTCTGAAAAATGAAGTCAAAGATTGGCGGTCTTAAAAAAAACTTTTTCTCCTAAAGGAGAAGGCGAGAACTTCGTCCGAAGCAGACATGGAATTTTAAAAATAAAATGAGATTTTCATAGAGAACTACACACATTCAACCGCAGCTTCATGCACGACATTGAAAAACAGGGAAACAGACTAGATTCCAAGGAATCACATCAGAAAAAGTGAAATCAAATACAGCAGGTGATGCGACGAGGGGCTAATGGCGAGAATCGCATTACCGTGGAAATTGTGGATTGAGAAAGTGAAGCGGTGACTAAGTTATTAGTGCGTATGTTTTCACCATGCTGAAAAGAATTAAAATTCGAGACCACTGGCGCATCGCATCCCTGATTCTGCGCAAAAATAGAGATATGGATTATTTAAAGAACTACAGGCTGATTAATATGTTGTTCAAAATCTACAAGATCTTCAGGAACGAGCTGACGAATAAACCTCTGAGAGGCTGGGCTTTGCACAGTCAAAGGAGCAAGCAGGATTCAGAAGTAGATTTATTACAATGGATTCTCTGCAGTTCGCAAAACTAGTAATTCAGATGAGCAGAGAATACGAGCTTGTTGTCTGCCTGCGGTTGGTCGATCTCGAGAAGGCTTTCAATTCAGTGAACACCCTTGATTTTTTGAGGATCCGTGGAACCGTCAAAAAGTGCGGGATCTTTATCACCATGATTTACACAATGCAACTGCCAGTATGAAGCTTCACGAATCAGCAGCAGATGTAAAATCAAAAAAGCGTGAAGCAGGGTGACGCAATAATACAGAACCAATTTGTAGCAGCCTTGATACTGGTTTCAAGATATTTCTTTGTCCAAAATCAAGCGTGAGCTTAAACGGGCACTGATTCATTACCTTCGGTTTGCACACAATATTCTCATCATCTCAAGGTCACTGGAAGAGCTCAAAACAGGAATAAAAAATCTGATACTTTCTGATTGACTGAAAACGAACTTCGCTAAGACTTTTTACAAAAGCGTGATTCCACGATTTAATGAACTCAATTTACTTAGGTTTGAAAAAGTGCAAAAACTTCATTTATATGGGGTTGCTCATTTGTGCGACGGTGAACCGATTATGGGAAACAAACAAAAGAATAAAAATGTTTCAGAACACGTTTGGGAGACCGAATATGTTTCTTTCAAGGAAATTGTCCTGTACCAGAAGCGAAAAGTTTCTCATTGGTGTGTGCTCCTTATGCTAACCCAAGGAATCGCATCGTAGACGGTAAGCCTACAATATGTACATAAGCTACAGATTACAAACGTAGCATGAAAAAATAAGTGTCGGTAATAACAAAAGAACATGGCACAAAAGAATATATTAGAGCAGGAAAGAGTCTGCGATATCATTGTCATAATGGTGAAGTAAAATTAACGCTAGGCTGAGCGCGATGTAAGGTGAAGCCATATTTCTGGATTGGGAAGATATTGAATTTTGCTCTGAGATGGATAAAAGAACCCGTAATCAGACCACCAGTTTGATTGAAAACGATCGGAAGAAGTTCGCTAGATAAAGAAGGAAAAAAATGGAAAGAACATGAAGTTGATGGAGACGTCTTTGACAGGCCAGCATTCAGCAAGGAATGAAAAAAGGCCGTGCATAACTGATGAGTGCAACATTTTTTACTTGATGATCAAGCGTTCATCGCTTTACAGAATTCATTTGTATTCGGACGCGTTTTTTCTTGGACGAACCCCTAATATTTGGCAAACCCTTCATAAACTACGTTCACTCAGTAGTCTATCGTGTCTAGCATGATTCTAGGCATCTAGAAGCAACGGAAAATATGATCCCGCCATGTTTAGCTGGTGAACGAACATAGCAAAATCTCTAAAGGTTATTCGTTGTTCAAACACATGAAAAAACAATGTACAGGCTTGATCAAAGTAGTTGCACGGAATCTTCTGAATTATTGACATTCAGATCGTGCAAATGATCAACTTATTTTGTCATGATGTAATCCATTTAGCATGATCTCCATGTTTTCACGATAGTCGGTGAACCTTCCTCCAACCTACGTACAGACAGGAGCGTAATAACAAAATTTTATTGTATCTCGAATGGTATTTGAGCGGATGATAATGAATCCAGATTCTTCTTCCAAAATTTTTATTAGGAATGTCCTGCTGTTAGGGAACTCCTGCAAAATCATATCGTCTGCTAACGTCCATTTGCTACTGCTCGGACAGCGAAGGGCTTTATGTTTTCATGAAAAGGAAAAGCCCCTGTGCCAGGCCTTGGAGTTGCTTTGATTTGTCACCTAGAACAATCTGCCTCTGAACCTTGATCAAGAGCCTGTCAGCTCGTTTCCCAGTACTCATTGCGTTCCATCATCATATCCATGACAGCTACATAACCACATATTCCCCGTAATTCGCAACTGATTTGTCTAGCAGAGAGAATTACCAATGAAGAACTGCCTAATCCTATAGACTAACGGACCCGCTGGCCTCACAACGCCAAGGAAGTCACTGATTCCCAGAAAGGCATTGGTGCTCTGAAGAACAGTGGCTCATAAAATAACTTTCCGTTATGGCGATATTACTACGTTATCAACTCACTTCAACATTGAAACGGAGTTCTCGCCACGAAATGGAAGATTTTTTGCCAGATACATTCTTTGCCGCCTTTTTAGGTAAATATGTGTGAAGTTGAAATACCTTAAGCAAATGCCATAAGATAATGATTATATGCACCGTAACTTTTATTAATCCTCAAAAAAATGTTTGATTTTTTACAACTTGCTTCTAAGCACCAACACCTACCGGTAGAATTATGCAACGACTACGTTTGCAGAATCGATTGACTTTATTTTAATAATGTGGGTACAAGTTAAAACCTGTAAAAGAAAAATTTGGACGTCCACAAATTGAAAACCTAGGGCATCAGCTTGAAGCAGCCAGGATATAAGTCATAATTTCTACCACTGTGAATGCCGAGATCAAATTTTGCGTAAGTTATGCTTTTCCGTTAACCTAGTTGATGATTACACAGGTCAGGCATGATGTAAATCTGGTACCCAGTTGCTCAGGTTTCTTAAACTTTGAGATAGTATACAGTGATATCAACCCAAAACGAGAGACAAGCTTTAGACGAAAACTGAGTAAATAGGGCGGAGCAGCGCGTTTTCTTCACGTGCCAATGAATTTGCTTTGTCAGTTGGATTCAAAGAAATTTGTTGTAATCAACGCC